TTTAGAAATTTTTTCATCTTAGGAACTTTTAAAACTCAACTTCTATGTAATCAACACTTTGGCACTTTGGCTCTTGTATATCTCTAGAACATTAAAGAGCTCTGTAGGGGAAAAAATAATTATCTGACCATATTAATTATTGAAATATAGAAATATCTCTACTTTAAAGGACTTTGGTAATGGAGTCAAGGAACATTTAAAGAGATTATCTGTTTCCCTATGCTTCTGTGCCTGGCCTTTTTCCCTAGCTTTACTAATTCTTGCTAGGGCATTTTTTTTTTTTTTCCTTTCTCTCTCTGATTTCAGGTTTACTTATATGCTGACAACTCCTGTATCATTAACCTCAGCCAACTGCTTTTTCTTGAACTTCAGGCCTGTGTGCTCAATTAACTAAGGGACCTTCTTAAATAAGGGACTGACTGACTGAATGAATGAATGAATGAATTCATTCATTTACCACCCCCCCAATATTTTGAGCATCTACTGTGTGCCAGTGTTCTTAGCATTAAGGATATAGCAATGAACCTAACATACAATAGTCTGCCCTCATGGAATTTACATTCTAGACAGATGACAAGCAAAACAACTAAATGAAATAAGCATTATAGAGAAAACTAAGACAAAGAAGGGCTTGGAAAGAAATCTTGGAGAAGTTATCTTTTTTAAGACTGGCTTAGAAGTCACTGAGGTGAACTTTTAGCAAAGACCTCAAGAGAGTAAGTGAGCATGTAGAAATCTGGTGGAAGAGCATTTCAGATGTCCTATAGGCATCCTCAGTTTTTTTGAGAGAGAGTGTTGGGAAGGGGGCAGGGAAGAGCAGAGGGAGAGAAAGAACCTTAAGCAGGCTCCATGCCCAGTATGGAGCTGGATTTGGAGTTCAGTCTCACAACCTGAGATCACAACTGAGCCAAAATCAAGAGTCAGATGCTTAACCGACAGAGCCACCCAGATGCCCCTAGAGATTCAAAACTGAACTTAACTGTTTTTCCTTGCAAGCCAGCTTCTCTTCCTATATTTCCTGGTTTTATTTTGTTTTGCTTTTTGAATTGTGCCATCATCTCTCCCACATTAAAAAAAAAAAAAAGTCTGAGACTTACCCCTATGGTCTACTCTTTAACTCTGAACAAAATCTGCAGCCTATGTCCTTTTGATCCTCTCTTCATATTGCCTATTGACTTTTCATTCCTGTTGCAAGGATTATTGTTATTGCCCTTGTTCAAGCCAACATTGCTTTTCCCCAGGGTTTTTCTAATATGCATTCTCTTAACCAGTCTTCTTGCCTCCTCCAATTCATCCTTGATATTGCTGCACAGTTATATTTGTGAAATGCAAACATGCCATTCTCCTGCTTAAACTTTTCAGTAGTTTCTCATTATTGTCAAACCACTCTTTATTGTGGCATGGAGGGTCTAATGTGATTAGCATACTTACCCTGCCCCTCTCCTTTTCCCAATAATCTCTCTGGGGTTCTTCTCACCGTTTCAGGTAAATTTACTGGCTCCAGCTCTATCAAGTTCCTCCTAAAAGTGACCCCTTCCAACACTGTGCTCTCTTACACTTTCTACAAGTTGCTTTTGTAACAGTGATTTGTTTACATGTTTGTCTTTCCTAAACCCAGCTCAGTGCTTGAATCAAAGTAGGCATTAAAAACCAAATGGATAAAATTAAATGTATCACCCCTAATAATGGGTATAATATATAGATGCCCCATTTCTAGGATCTGGACACAGGCAAAAGGTTTCTTTCTCCTCAAACACTCAGAATCACCTTAAAAACACCTATTCAACATGCAACTCAACATATTCTGATACTGAACACAAATATCCAATCTTATTTGCTTGGAAAACTATCTGATTTAAAAGCACAGTACTCCTTTCCCCAGTAACAGCTTTTACTTTGGGGAACTCACATATACACCATTCATCTGTGTACTTCTATTTTTAGCAATGAAGGAAATTTCAGTTCCAGAATACATGAATTGCAAAAAATATGAATCACTTCTGTTAAATCTATTTTGAGGTTAAGAGAACTGGTCACAGGGATTAAAAAAGGAAAATAAAGTTAATGACAGAAAATAGGTAGAGATAAAGGAAAATTAGTTTTACAAAGCTACTATAAGTGGCACCTGGGTGGGAAAAGATCCAACTTGTATAGAAGAGGGAAATGAAAATGAAATCCAGAATCAACAATCCAGACATAAAGCTAGCAAAATACTTAACATATAAATGGGGGACCTATTAGCAAAATAAACGATATATTTCATACCTAGAGTAAAATGAAACAATCTGTCAGCTTCTCATTTATTATACTGCAGGGGCGGGGGAGGGTAGCAAATCTTTGTTTACAAGTACCTCATGGTAAATGGACATTTACAGTACAACATTGCCTTGAGAGGTGTTTCCATTTGTAACCAAACTGTTCCTTATTAATAGAAGTTGAATTAGACATTCATATTAATGAATTAGACTACTGAATATGATTTCCAAAGACTTATGGTTCATTTTGCTTTTTAGAGAATAGTAAAAAAAATTAATTTTTAAATTTTATATGCTATCACTATTTTGATATTTCACCCTATACATATATGAAGATTTATACTCTTAACAATGGTACAGAATGTAACTTTTTTTTTTTTTTTTTTAGAGGAGGATGAAGGGAGAGGGACAGAGAAAATCTTAAGTAGGCTCCATGCCCAGTACAGGGCTCCATCTCACAACCTGAGCTGAGCCACCCAGGAACCCCAGAATATAACTTTTAAAAAATAGGAATTCTTGAAGGTATTTTAAGTACTTTATAGACAAAAAAAAAATACGCTTTTATTTCGAGAAGTTTTATAGATAGTTAAGCTGAATACTGGCCAATTAATGCTCTTGAAATCAACCTTGAGACTCAAATGTTTTTCTCTATGGCTGGCAACCCCAGCCAGAGATTTTTACTGGTACAGGGAGAATAAACTATTGCCTATGTTTATCAGATTTTATTATGCATAGTAATCAACTGGAGATGTTGTTAAAACAGACTGAAACTCAGAAGGTCCAGGATTCTAGTTTCTAACAAGCTCTCAGGGTCTTGGTCCATAGTCTGCTGGTTATCCATGGACCACACTTCTGAATAGCAAGGCCTGAATCAGTGGTTCTAAGTCTTGATACCTAATGGAATCACCTGGTGAGCTATAAAAAACCATTTCTAGGGGTGAAAGGTTATTGAATCTGGGATCCAGTCTTGGTAAAGAGTTTAAAAGCTCCCAAGTTCAGGCTAACAAGCAGCTAAATTTGAGAACCTATGACCTAAAATGTACTGGTCAGATTTATGGGTAGGTTTCATTTCTCCTTGTTTCTAATACAGTAGGTAGCAGAGCTAGGATTAACCGGTACTGTATAGATTATGAGAGTAATATATGCCCCAAGTCTCCAAATTCTTACTGATAATATGAGTCATTATCAGTCAGGTTCTAATGTTAAGAATCTTAGCAGTTTCATTTCTATCCTCCTACCAAATGATTTAATAACATGCTTATCATAGTATTTTAAATATCCATGGACTTATAATAAAATGACAATCTAAATTATTTTTGGATTAGGAGATAGATATGTAGAAACGTGATTTTTAAAGTATATGGAAGTGTTTATTCCTTTTTTTTTTTTAAGATTTCATTTATTTATTTGACAGAGAAAGACACAGCAAGAGAGGGAACACAAGCAGGGGGAGTGGGAGAGGGAGAAGCAGGCTCCCTGCCGAGCAGGGAGCCCGATGCGGGGCTCGATCCCAGGACTCTGGGATCATGACTCGAGCTGAAGGCAGATGCTTAACAACTGAGCCACCCAGGCGCCCAGGAAGTATCTATTCCTAATTACAGATTAAAATAAACTCAGATTAGTTAGAAGTTTATAAAAAAATAATCCCCAGACCTGGCAATTGTCCCAGGAGAAAAGCCCAGACACACAAAAGACAGCACAAGTTTACTTAGTATCTGTATTTGAAGTAGGTACCAATGTGTTACAAACTTAATTACCACTCTTTCTTCATAATGCCTTTCCTAATTATTTTGCTAAATTGAGGTTTGTAAAAGGTCAGGATGCAATTCATTTCAAGGATCCATCCCCAACTCTTAAAATGCACATCCAAAATACTTAATGAAAATATTTTAAACTCTCAGGTATTAGCAGAAACTCCCTCATTACAGTAGAGTACTGGAGTACTAGTCAACTACCACATACTACTAATGATGTGACTTAATCAAACTTTCTGAACAGGACTTCTCACTCCCTAAAATAGTATGTAGAGAGAGTCCAATAAGAATGTGCAAGCACAGACTAATGCCACACAGAAATATAAGACAGCACTACATATACCTAGGATAAGCCAAATAAACACTAAATAGTGTGGCAGTGCAAAGAAATGGAGCCCAGAGCAGGGACTACTTTTCAGCTTTAGCATTAATTAGCCACATAACAAGCAAATCACATACCTTAATTGCATTTTAAAAAAATAAAGATAACTCAAATAACTTATCTTAAGAATCCCTAGCAGATCAAAACTATGATCTAAAAATAACTGATGAAGCGGTCCTCCAAAGCAAGTATGATTAACTGTAAAACAAGGCGAAACAAAAACCCACCAAGAGTTTACTTGTAACATGACTGATTTAACAAGTCTCTTAAGAAAAATACCATTTTAAATTTGTCTTCTAGAAAAGTCTACAAATTATTTGGCCATCACGTAAGATAGCAAATTAAAAAAACAAGTGTAGAGGAAATGGAGGAAAGGGATCATTAAATAACATACAAGAACACTATGCAGAATTAAAATAAACAATGTAAAACTGAGGACAATGAAATATTAAACAGCTTTTCCTAAGGAAAACTTATTTCAAAGTATGACATTGGGATTTTAGGATCTATCCCAAAGAATATATAAGCATTCTTATATACACAAAATGTTTTTAAGTACTGCAAATAACTCATAATTTCTACATAAATTATTCTAATTAATAAAAATGGTAGCACATGGTGATTATTTCCTTTTAATTTATTTAGTCTGAACACATGTCCTGCCAATCACAAAATACCTAGTGTGGCCAAATACATGAGAAATCCCTGTAAGAATCACAAGGTGCCTTGCAGCTTTCTGTCAGGATGCTAAGAAAATGTGACAATGGAGACACAGCTTTTATCAGTTATAAGGTCCAATCATTAATCTTCTTCAGAACTGGAATCATCTTCTTGGTCAGAGAGTTCAGGGACAGGGAAGCGGAGAATGGCAGCTACTCCAGTCAACTGACTGAGCTGTTCCCCTGATACATGAAGACTAGAGAATATCCTAACCGTGCCTGCGTTCTCTTTCACACTGTCCACCAGCTTCACATACCGGCTTCGTGTAGCGACATCCTGGTGCCTGAAAAGCTCATCGCTGATAAGCAATGTGTCAATTGCCATAGCCTCATTGGCCTTCTCCACCTGCTTGAGTCCATAAAACGCTCGGTCAGGTTCATGTTGTAACATTTTATAGAAGTCATCCAAGGCTTTTACTTCCCCAGCAGCTTTAGTGTCTGAAAGGCGGCTAGCTACAGAAGGGTCACAAAGGGCCTCTTTCAGGGAGTACTTGTGTCCAGAGGAGGCATGTACCTAGAATCATAATTATGAAAGTTAGACAAAAGAATCTCTTAGAGTACCCATTAATCAGCCTGCAGTGACCTAAAGCCAAAAGCACAAATAAGGCTTTGTATGTTTGAGGACTTAAGCAAAGTTTACTACGTAAACAGGCTATTTAACAACTCTCTTTTTATTTCATTATCTCACAGTCACAGTCCACTGAATACTTTCTCCTCTTGTACTTTTCCCGGTTCTAAAATTTAAGAGTAGTTTATACAAATCCCTCTGCCCAATCTTAATTATCCTTGGAGAAGACTTTTACCTGAAGAAACTTGGACCGGTTTTCCAGGAGCACTTTGTTGTCGGTCTTCACTGCTTGTTGAAACATGTAGTCGCAGAACTGCTCCCTCACAAATCCTGGGCTGGCCACCAGGATGCACTTCACAACATCAAAGTTTATGTGGCGCTGGATAGCCTGGACCACCTGTTCATAGAACCGCTCCAAAGCCCGGTCATGTTGAGAACAGTTCCCTTTCCGTTTTCTAGGGATGTTCACCTCCACCTTGGCCCGAGTGAGGGTCATGCTGGGAGTGACTAAGCAGATATGGGCGAGGCCTTCCTGCATCACCACAGCCGCTACATCTGCACTCCAGGCTGGGTCACAGGCCTGCTCGATGCGCTCCAGAACCACACTGTCCCACTGTTTCTTGGCCAAAGTGAACTGGCGGTTGGGCTCCAGCTCAATGGTGTGGTAAGCCCCCATCTTGACATACTCATTCTCTTGGATGTTGGTCCCCTTAACCCGCAGCTGGCAGGCTTGAGAGTCAAAATCGATGGCCTCCACGCAGAGAGTGAGAGTAGTGCGGACCCGGTTGCTTCCTACGCTGCCCGTGGAGGACTCGGTCTGTACCTTGCGGATGGTGGAGGCACGCAAGCTGTCGCCCACCTGCACTAGATTGTAGGTGTGCCACATATCCTCAGGTTCTTCGGGGACTAGAGTCACCTGGCCCGCATTGTCTTTCTCAATGTCCTTTCTCACGAGCTTCATGACCTCGGCGGGGGTTCGCAGGCAGAACAAGAGGAAACGAAAAGATCCCCAGTGGGAAAGGGACAGGGAGGGGAGAGGGAGTCTAGGCCGGGAAGGGGGCGGGGTCCGGTTCCTATGGGCACTTGCCTGGCAGGAAGGAAATACTCTAGCTTCGACTCAAGCGGCCAAGGGGAACACTTACTCTACCCCTTCTTTTCTTAGTCTCCCGGCACACCACGCCAGACCCCGGCGAGGGACACTGCAGCAAACACAATCTTCTCCGACGTACCAGCCGCCAGCACAAACCCAGCGGCTGATGGAATGAGGGCGCATGCGCAGCCCGCGTCCCGCCTCTCGGCGCACGTTTTACGTCCCCAAGGAGGAGGCGGGGTTGTAGTTTGCGCGGGCGCAGGCGCGCTAAGCGCGAGGTGTGTCCGAAGAGTAAACCGAGAGGGAAGTGCTGGTAATCTTTGGTGGCGAGTCATTTATTTTAATGCTGAACTTGGACTTCCTAAGTTTTCTCTTCCAAACCTGTTTGTGCAGAATCTGGGGAGTATGTGAGTGCAGTTATTTTTCCAACTGCGTGACGTTGCCACTGTACACCTCTATCCCGGGTAAAACCAATTTTAAAAAACTTAACCAAAAGTAAAAGGAATTCTCAAAAGTGAAGACTTGGCCCCGAAGTTCTAAATTCAGCTTGCCTTATTCAGCACTCAAACACTGCACGCCTGTTGGAGTTGGTATTTCCAGAAAAGTTTTCAAAGAACTACTGGTCACGGTCTGTCTGGGCTCAGAGCAACTTGTCCAGCTGTTTTCTGCGCTTAGTTACCGTGTCTGCACGATCTGACTACCCAGATGTTAAAGCACTGACCCCAGAGAGAGAAGAAACTATCTGTGGAATTCACCCCTGGGTGGACCTCTCAGTTGTTTGCCCTGATGTCCTGGAAATCCCAGAATCCGAAATTGGCAGCCTCCGCTTTACGCAGCTCTGTAGCCTGTGAAATGTTAAGGTTGGGGGTTGGGTCGCAAAAATTTAGGGCCGGATCTTCACTGCCTAAATTGAGCTGAGGATATTGGAAGTGGAGAAAATCTGATTTACTAGGACCAACGCGACTGAATGGCTACAAAATTGATTTTAAAGAAAATCCTTAAGTCACTTAGCATTTTTATGGTGGTCGGGGGTTGAGAAGTGAGGATTGCCTCTTAACAAGATCAGTGAATATAAAAAGCTCACCAGAGTTTCTCTGAGAGTTAAGATGAGATGGAGAGGGGTGCCTGGGTGGCTCAGTGGGTTAAGCATCTGACTTCAGCTCAGGTCATAATCTCTAGCGTCCTGGGATTGAGCTCCCACAGGCTCCACGCTCTGCGCCTACCGCTCCCTTTTCCCCTCCCCCTCCGCTCATGAGCTCGATCTCTTGCTCTCTCAAATAAATAAAATCTTAAAAAAAAAAAAAAGAACAGAGGAGATGAACAGAGTAGTCCTACCCACACATCGTCTCATTCTCTTTCTTATCTTGTATATGGCACTGAAAGGGAATCTTACCACCCGGAACTGGTGAGACCAGGATGAAAGGGAGGAATCTGATTATGGCACAAGTCTTGATAGTGATGCCTCAATTATCTTCCTCAGAGATCCTCAGGGGACACAAAAATCCCTTCCAAAGCTCTAGTACAAATTAGAGGCATTGTTTTGTGGTTTCTCTCCTTCCTTTTCCTCTTCCTTCCACACCTTCCTCATAAAGTTTCTAACTCAGACTGCCTTCTTCCACTTCCAAGAAAACCCAGCAACTTTGAGTAAGGAACTGATTGCATTGAAGTGTGAAGATGGCTTGCCTCTCCAAAGGACATTTCCTAACTGGGAGAGAGAAATACTTTGAGTTGCTCCTTACCTTTCTAAGTAGAATTTACTTCTCTCCAAAGTCTGACAAAGATTAAAATCCACAGAATCACAGTGGCAGGGATACAGTAGGATCTTAGTAAGTGTTAAATTTTTCTTTAAGAGCTATCATTTACTGAATGTTTATCAGGTACTTTCCTATACTCTTCTAATCCTCTTCTGTAAATATTTGTTATCCTCATTTTGTAGATTAAGAAAATGAATTACAGAAAAATAAATGTATTCAAGATCACAAAACCAGCTTTTAAAGTCAGACCTGCTTAGGGCGCCTGGGTGGCTCAGTTGGTTAAGCGACTGCCTTCGGCTCAGGTCATGATCCTGGAGTCCCGGGATCGAGTCCCACATCAGGCTCCCTGTTCAGCAGGGAGTCTGCTTCTCCCTCTGACCCTCTTCCCTCTCGTGCTCTCTATCTCTCATTCTCTCTCTCTCAAATAAATAAATAAAATCTTAAAAAAATAAAATAAAATAATAAAAAAAAATTCAGACCTGCTTAACTTGACACCCTCTCCTCTGTTCAGTGCTGCAGGCTATATTATAGATGCTCGAAATCATCTCTGCAACCACAAATTATGTGCTGTCATCCACTGCCACTTCCCCTTAATTGTCACGTTTACGAATTCAAGACCCACAGCTTAGGAACCAAGTGAGAGCATCTGAAAGGCACCAGCACCAGTCCCTTCCCTGCTTTTATTACTTTTAAAAATCTTTACATTCATCCATTCAACATAGTTTTCCTTCTGCCCAGCCTAGGTCACACCATTATAATCCTTGAGAAAAATCTAATATTATACTTTAGAAAAATATGCATATATTTCTACATTTAAAACCTGTGGGAAACCCACACTGACTGTTAATTCTGTGGTTCTTTTAAAAAGTTTATTTAAATTATGGGCCTAACTACTTTGGGCTGTGTTTTTATTTTTTATTTTATTTTATTTTATTTTATTTTATTTTATTGTTTAAGATGTTATTTATTTGAGAGAGAGAGAGAGCACAAGCAGGCAGAGTGGCAGGCAGGGGGAGGCAGAGGGAGCAGAGAGAGGCAGAGGGAGAGAGAAGCAAACTCTGCTGAGCAGAGAGCCCCATGTGGGGCTCGATCCCAGGACCCTGGGATCATGACCTGAGCTGAAGGCAGATGCTTAACCAACTGAGCCACCCAGGCCCCCCATTGGCTGTCTTTTTAAACATAGATGTGCTTCGGTGATTGAACATACTACAAAATTTTTCATAGAATTACTATTTGATCTGAAATGGAACTATTTTTTAGAAACTGGAGCTTACTGTTAAATGATCTGATGTTTCTCCCAGATTTTGTGTGGTAACTTAATATTTCCAGACTAACTGCAATTCTGAGTTATTTAGAGTTCTCATTCCCTACTAATTAAAATCCAATTCCCTAGCATTCAAGGCCTTCATGATTTGGCCTTACAGCTTTATTTTCCACTTGCCACCCTCCAGCACCCTATATTCTACAGGAATAATCTTTGTTCCCCATACATCCTGGGAACTGTCTACTTGCTGCCCTTAACTCATGCCATTCTCTTTCTTTAAAATGTCACTGCCTCTCACTCCTGTCTCCATAAATCCTACTTCTTTTTAAGCACCTGCTTAAATGTTATTTCACATTTGAAACCATTCATTATATTAATTGGAATACTTGTCTTTTCTTTCTTATTGAACTCTGAGTGGATTCATCCTTTTATTTCCCCACTGACCCTTGAAAAGTCCCTTGCACATAGTAGGCACTTATATATTGAGGATAAGCTGAGTGGATCAGATGTAAAGTGTGGCAGCTATATGAGTATTATCACAGACAGTTCTTAAGGCATGATATTGTTACCAGCTAGAGTTCACTTAGTAATGGTTCCTCTTATTGTAAAACTGCTGTAGGTTACAGCAGTTATGTAATAGATAGCAGTATATGACATTTTCATTCTTTACCAAAATACACAAAATCATGAGAAAAAAACATGATTTAGCTTTGTTACTTTAAATTATAATTTTATATTTACTTACTGGCTTTTTCAAAATAGAAACCTTTATATCAGTAACTTTATATCTATTTTTTCTATTTTATTTATATTAATCTCTCTAGAATTAAAAGTTTTCAATTTGTTGTTTTGGATATAATTCCAGTCTCAAAAAAGAGAACTGGGCTAGAAGTTAAATGTCCTGGATTGTAATTTTTACCCTGTCAATTGTTTTTACTCTAACTGTTGGCAGCCCTTAGTCTCTTAGAAACTCCATTTCTTTTACTTAAGAATTGAGGGCATTGAACTCAATAATTAAAATTGTCTTAATTATAAAGATTATGCTGCAAAAATCTTTAAAAAAAGAAAAACACTACTCATAATCTCACCCTATCATATTTATTTTCAATTTTGCATAGTACCTTTTGAATTTTATTCTTCCTAAAGTCCATTGCAGTGGTAAAAGATCAATACCAAGTTTAATACTTGCATAGCAAGAGTCAGCAGACATGAGTCATGATCTTTCTAGCTAGATTATGGCAACTTTAGATAAGTCCCCTAACATCTACAAACCTGAACTTTTCATTCTAAATTGTAAATCAGATTACTTGTCCTGCCTCTCTCATTTGATAACGCTTATAAGGTTCTATTGAGATTATGATACTTTGTAAACTGTAGAGTTCTACAAACACGTGAGATAATGTGGTATATCTCTAAGAATGCCTGACCTGAAGCTAGAAATCTGGATCAGACAAAGCAAGGGGCAAGGGCTCACTTAAACAAGATCATAATTATTCAGCCTTAGAAAAATAACTTGTTCAGTAAAGTTGACTGATGGATAATCTGTTGGGTACCATTAATTTATACTAGTATCTCTTCTCCAGGGAAACCTTAGGTCAGCCCTAGTGCATGAGTTCATGTACCTCATTGGTGAATTGGATTACAATTCTTCTTCCTATTATAATGGTATGTTAGAAATGGTTTGTATGACAGCATCAGGGATTCTGAGCTCCTGAAGAATGGAAATCTTGTTTGAATACCCTGGGCTTAGCATGGTAAGGCTGTATAAATGTTCCTGTTTCTAGTATTTTTTTTTTGCAAGACTTAACTTTCCTGCAACACATAGTTATCTTTTCCCTCCTTTGCTTAGAGCACTTTAGAAGCTCCTCCCATCATTGCTTCTTTGCTTGTCTATTGCCTTTTTCAGACTGTGAGCCTACCTTTTGTCTGTGTTCATGAAACCCAGCACAGCAATTGTCATATAAACGTAGTCATTATATGAAAGGATGCATAATTGTTAGTTCTCCTTTAATGCAGAATTTTTAACTTGTCTATCACTGGCATCTTAAAATTAGGAAAACATTCTGTTTTATAATGTTACTAAAATTTTAAAGAGAAGATTACTCTTAAGGTAAGTTTCTAAAAACCTATTTCAATTTTTCAGATCCCGTGCTT